TCTCTCTCTCTCGTTTTCACCCGATTTCTCGTATTTCGAGCATTTTCCAACGAGGCGTGGATCCACGAGTTGGGATCCACATGGTGCACGGTATGTACGCGATTGGACGTGATGGGGTATCGATGATAAAAATCGAAAAATCGGGCTCATCGAACGTCATCGTTAACCGGAATACCGGTTTCCACTCGCGAGTATCCATCGATGGGTGGAATCGTTATTTCAGTTTATGGCGTGCTTGGCCAGTGGTTGCTTGTTTTAGGATGGCGTCTCAAGTTCGATCTGGGGATTTTTAATCCTGATATGAATTTGGTTGAAAGGGGGAGATTGAGATTATTCGGTTTGATGAGTATGTTGAGAAAGAGGATGGTAGAAAGTTGAATAAAATAAGAGATATTTATTGATACAAATTGTTAATATTTTATCAATTTGTTTTTTAAATTTAAAAATATGAATATAAATTATATTACTCAATTTAATTTGTTTTTTAATTAAAAAGAAAAATACTGGGAAATTGATAAATATATATTTTGTAATTTATTTAATATTACGAATGAATATTTTAGAAATATTGTATCTTCTTTTTTTTTTTTTGTATTTTATAGAAATGAATTCCGTTTAAAATTTTAATACAATTATTATACTTCTTTATAATTCCATATTGATTTTCTACATGTGCAAATTTAAATAAAGCACAGTTAATTAGTTTTGCTTTTGAAAATTATTCATGAAATGATTAATTATTCATTCTTTACATTTCCATAATAAATCCAATACTTAAATGAAATCATTTAGTTGATGACGAAAGTTGAATACAGTTTCAGAATGAAAGCACACGGAATAAAGAAGCTCTATATATGATTAAATTCCCAAAGTTTCGAATATTAAAAATAGCGAAAAAAGATCAAACGAATTCCGTAAATTGACGCAACACAAACGACAATATTGGTATAGGTAGATATTTGTTTCCGATAAAATTATAAAGAAGAGCAAAAGTTACATCCCGATAATTAATCAAATTTTATCAAATACATCATTTTCAAACCAATTAATTTAAGAAATAATATAAATAGAATATATCCACCGATTCAAACAAGTAAATAAAAAGGGAATTACGCTCTCTCGATTACAATTAATTTTAAACGTATTTTAAAAGAGAGAAATTGAACGATAAAAGGGAGGGGAGGGGGAATAACGTAAACACTTCTGTGTTCTCACAAATATCGCAAAAATCCGGCAATGTCCCCTCTCTTCACGCTACTTCACGAGACACAAAACCCTCGTAATCCACGATAAGCCGCTCGTAAACGCGAAAGCAAAGAGACAATATTTACAAAAAGATTTTTAACGACGACCTTCTACGAGTTTATCCACCCTATATTACCCCTCCATATATATATATACATATATATATACGACTATGCATATATAATATAATAATTAATTAAGTCTTCGTACCTGAGGGTCTTAGCAGTGTGCACGGTCGACGTTTCAGCTATATGCCTCTGCAGATATTGATTCAAATCCCCGTATTCGCCATTCTCCAATACGATGCACATCGGGTCGTCCCCGAGGCTCGCGCCGAGCAGCCGCGCGACATTCCGATCGGCCAGCCGTGCCAGTTTTTTTGCCTCCTCTTGAAATTCTATCCTGGAAAAAACACACGACACAAAGAAGTAATATCTTTATGGTCGGCCACCCTACAAACCCGGGCCGGCTATTGAACGGACTCGAGGTTATACTCGAGATAAACTATGTGATAGTATACTCTCTCGAGTATATCGAGACATATATATAAATATATAATAGTTGAGACTTATAATGTGTTTGAATAACTGAGACCAAAGGAAAATGGAATCAGGCTTGTTACAAAGTTAAGAGTTTGGATTATTAGATATTCGGATCACGACGTTGGAATCATTGGAATAGAAAAATAAGAGTTGTTTATAATTGAAGGTTCGAATAATAGGAAGCACAAAGCGAACGAATCAGAGATCGGTCGGGCTATAACTCATCGTAGAGGGATCATTAGCCACAGTTTGAATAAGCGAAAGTTCGGGTAGAAAAGAGAGCAGAAGAATCGAACAGAACTGCTATAGAGTCGTTGCTATAGGCATTCGAAAAAGAAGGCGTTCAGACTATATAGAGCGCTAGAAACCGATCTGTTCAAATAATCGGGGGATTATTGGTCGGGCAATAGAGTTGGATGAGAACAGGTCCACCAGAGAATTCCGATTTGAGAGTTTGGGCAATAAGTTCGAACGATGATTCGATTGGATTATATGGATTTCATATGTAAACAGGATAAGGATAATAATTTTAACGGTAGATTATATTTTAGAATTGAGAGATGACACGTGGATTTAACTCGTTCTTTATTTATTTTAAAAAAACAGTACGTGAATCGTTGGAATGGAGCTATATCGAACACACGATAGTTAGTACAATTATTAAATAATTTTGATTTTTATACGAAACAAAATAGGAGATCCGTGCTTGCACACTTACATTATAGAATATTCTAGATACTTCGATTAGAAACTTCAAAGAGAGGAAGGAAAGCCATCATTTCGAACACCTCCTTTAATCCGCATAAGTGAAAGAGGATAAGAAAAAAAAATAAATATCACGTACGTAGACTTTATCTTTTTCTTTTTTAATTAAATTAAAAAACGAGCAGATCAAAATCCATAAATTCACGTAATTTCTTCGCTTTAGCACGACTTACCAACCACACTGGCAAAGTTATTCAGTTTCCTCTTGGGATATATATATACACATATATACATCTCTCTCTCTCTCTCTCTTTCTCTCTCTGCGTCGTCCTTTCGACCTTTCATGAAAAGAGAAGGGGAGAGGGGGAAACAACGGAAGAATGGAGGAGGGTTTTGTAGCCGGTGAAAGCTACGTAACACGGGGCCCGGGATAATGGCCACTGCTGAGATTATCGTTTCGAGAACTGCGAGTTCTGTGTTTAACAGAGCTTTTCGCTTGTGTTTCGGTTGTCTAATATTTAGGATCGCGATAAGAGGGTTTGCTGGCGGGCGTAACAACGTCCGGCACAGTTGGTCCGAGGGAAGTAACGCTCCCTCTCGTCGAGATCGATCCTGCATGGATTTCGTATATTATTCGCGGAACGGTGGAGGATTTATATACGATGCTCGAACGAGGAAAGTTGCAACCTAGGTTTCCGCGAATTTCCCGGTAATTATGGCCGCTAGTAGCTGGCCTCCCGTCCCACCATCCCGCCTCTTAATTAATAAATTTCGCTATTTTGGGTAATTTCCAGGCGAGACAAAGAAGTTGTTACCCCCACCCACGGCGTTGACCGTGGGGGAGGGGGGCAATTCCGGG